AGTTTAAGTCATGGCTCTAATTTGTACAAAAATTAAGCTACCCACGAATGCTGTTTTTCCTCCAGGGGGGGGGGGGCTTGCCATAACTAACGAAAACAATGGTGTGGACATTTCTTGATTATTTCCGGTGTTTCCTTTCGTTGCTACCTCATTTCTCAAAGAAACCATGCCAATTTTTTGACTCTGTTGAAAGCACATGGTCTAATCAACCGTACCTCCTTATCTTATGATGACCGCACAAAATGACAGAGCGTGGGAACCGACTGTGCCAAATGCTACGGATATTGCAGCTATGTGTGTTGTGTTTTCAAGTGTTATTTTATATATGTCCGACAAATCGAATTATGGTTTTGATACTATCTAGATGTATTTAATAGTATCTAGATGTCTTATTCATTCATTTGACCAATAAAAAGCATAACTGCCTGGAAAGTAATATGAATAAAGTATGTAAATAAATGAACTAAAACGTCAAATTAAGAAGCAAAAGTCTTTTCTGGGTCACTGCGAATGGCATGATTTCCTCGAGTCTCTTCAGTTGCAAGGCAACCATACTGGGACCGATTCGCGTCGTTCCACTACTGCCCTTGGTGGGGGCCCGCTACCATACTATATGACTCCCGGAGTTTACTAAAGCACGTTAGTGGAGGAACCAACCACAGTCTCACAATCTGTCTCCGGCAAGAGCGGCCAGAGAACCAACCCATGCCAAGGGCCGGTAAACGGTTGGACCTTCGGACCGGGTGTCCGTAGTGACAATGATCAACAACTCCGTACCTGGGGCTCGAACGCGGGACCTCCGTATCCCACGACGTTCAACCGCAAAGTAGCCTCAGTCTACACCACTAGGCTACCCTGCTTAGGTGTCAAAAGTGCTAAAAAATAATGTAGTTGTTACAATTATTTGCTTGGATAAACATGATATTACATTTCTTAATTAATTAATCGGATTTAGTTGGAATTGAGCGAAGTTCGACCAACGATCAAGGCAATGCAATCAACAACTCTTGCAAATGTGAACGGGAGTCGTAAAGACAGAAAGTACAAGAATCGTGATCAATGTAAAGTATATTCTTTAAGAAACATTCCAAAATGAAGAAGAAGCATTTAGAACATTTGATTTGTTGCCAATATATCAATTGCGTCTCAAATTAATGAAATAAAAGGTATCGCGGGCCACTAAAGTCGATGAGTGAAAACAATTATTATTGACGCATCTAGATCGCTCAATATAACGGTAAGTGAATACAGTAGGTTTGTGTAGATACGTCGAGGAAAATAAGCTATTTCGACGCTTGAAATAATCTGATTACGCTTATTAATAATTACTCGTGGCTAGCTATGTAACACAAGTATTGTTTCTCCTATGTGACTTTTATTACAATTGTTGCATGGAACTTGATATACCACGTTCGCTTTGCGATCTTGTTTGACCTAACGAGAATATTTCGAAGGGTTTGCATAGGTTTAAAAGCTACTTTGATATATTTTTCTTCATTATTCTTCTAATTTGCTCTGATGCATTTTTTACATAGGGTATGGTTACTACCTTTTTGATTTCTGTCTTGTCCTTATTTGTATCTGCTGCTTTACGTTCAAAACGTTCCTGTGTCTTTTTAATACAAGTAGTCCATTTTGGATAACTGCATCTTTAGCTATTTTAACATTTGAAGTTTCTTCTATTTTGTCCTCCTGTTCACTGCAAATCGAATTTGCTCTTCCTATTAACGTAGAAATTACCGACATTTTGTGTTCAAGGGGATGGTGTGATTGAAAGTTACTGATCGGTGTAGCTAGGTTTTCTATATACAGTACATCTTATTGAACCATCCGAATTCCTGTTGAAGTTGCGTGTCTAAGAAAGCCAGATTTCCCTCTGATTCTTTTTCTACTGTGAACTTCACAACGTCTATAGAATTCATATGATTTGTCCATTCATTCACGTGGTCGTTGTCAACAATTTCTAGTACATCATCTACATACCTTTTGTACAATGATGGGGAACAACCTGGGGGTGCTGTGGCAATGGCTTGTTCCTCTAACCACTACATGTAAATGTTGGCTAACACAGGTGAAACCGAACTACCCATTAGAAAGATGCGAGGGGCTTAGTATATAAATTACAGCTTCATTTACAAAACAAATTACAAATCGAAGATTCTTATTAAAACTAGGCTATATTTTCTAGCTTTGGGCCAAATTATAATCTGCAACTTGACTTATTAGTAGGTTTAAATCGAATTCGTAACCAGGAAGTTCATCCATTTTGTTGTGGTTGTGGAACAGTGATTATGGCATTCAGTGTAACGCCTTTCGGTACAATGCGCGTCAGTATAATGGGTGTCGGTATAATGCGCGTCGGTATAATGGGTTTCGGTATAATGCGCGGACCCCCAAATTGTCACCACCTGCCAATTGTAACAGATGCCAACTGCAGAACATCATCCACAAAAAAGTTGGAGACCATAACAATATGTCACCACTTCTGGTGGTGACATAACTAAAACAGCTAAAAGAGAAATCTTAATTATAGGTGAAAGTCTAACAAGAAACAGTGATAAATATTGCACTTGAAAGAGGAAAAGATCAACAGATAAAGTGTTTCTCCTAATTTTGATAATATTCATCAAAAATTCAAAATGGCTACCATGCCCTAAAACTAATCAGGACACATAATCTGGACACATTTCAAGTTGAATGGATGAATTGTTGTTGAATTTTAAAGTAATTTACCCAGCATGCCCAAAACCTGATCAGCTAAAATAGTCCAGGGGGGTTCACTCTAAAATGCTCAAAAAGGGGGTCTTTGGCGCGGCACATAGGTATTAAGAGGTTTAGTGGAGTGAACCCCCGGAAAGATAGTATGCTATTGCGTCTCTTCAAATTTCAAGTTGAATGGATAAGCAGTTTTCCTGGAATTTTGATGACAAGGTTTATGTGGCACCTACCCAGACCCACAAATACTCACACACACCCATCAACATAAGACGACAACAATAGGGCATTTTGAAAAAGCGGGATAAAAATGTTTGGTCGAGGGATAGCAGGCCTGTAGCCAGAGGGGTTGGATGGGTTTCAGCGAACTCCCCCCCCCTGGTCAAATATTCTTTCATAATCATGCAGTTTTTCATCATTCTGAACACATTTTAAGTGATTTTGGACCAAAATTGTCAAAAGTGAACCCCCCTGGAAATTTTCAAAAAGTGAACCCCCCCCCTGGCAAATCCTTGCTACGGGCCTGGAAGTACTGAGCTTAGATGTAATAAAGAAGAAAAGAATAATTTTAACAAAATGCTGTATATTTTCTCAATGGATGACCTTTATACTAATAATCAATGAATTTGACATTCATTTTCATACATACATGAAATACTTCATAATTTATGAAAACTATAATAGACTATAATTTAGTTAATTAATTAATAAATAAACAATTCATATAAAATTATTTATAATACATAACCTCTATGTATATATAACAGTTCACTGCACACCAATGCACTTTAATGCACACCAATGTATTCAATTGCACACCAATATACTTCAATGATGTACAATATATTTCATATTAAAACAATATTTTGAAATATACACCAATGTGCCATTGTGCTTTCATGTACACTTATACATGCTAATGTGAAACACTTTACTTTCATGCACACCAGTATATACCAATGTACTTTAATGCACACCAGTATATGCCAATGTACTTAAATGCATACCAATGTACTTAAATTCACACCAACATACTTTAATGCACACCAGTATATACCAATGTACTTAAATGCATACCAATGTACTTAAAATCACACCAATGTACTTTAATGCACACTAGTATATACCAACGTACTTAAATGCATACCAATGTACTTTAATGCACACCAGTATATGCCAATGTACTTGAATGCATATCAATATACTTTAATACATACATGTACCAATGTACATAAATTCACACAAATGTACTTTCATGAATACCAGTATATGTAAATGTATTGTATTACATATCACTATACTTAAATGCATACCAATGTACTTAAATTCACACCAAGGTACCTTAATAGTACACTAATGTACTTTAATGTACACCTATGATGTACAACAATGCAAACCAATGTACTTAAATGCACACCAGAACATTTTAATGCACACAAGTACACTTAATAATACATAATGAATACAAGTACACTTTAAAAGAGTTCTAACACACTGATCACAGGAAACCTGATCAATTCAATGAAAAATAGTACAGAATACAAAAAGCAAAACTGAATTTTTTTGGGTAAAAATGTCAACTTTGTGACCAATAGGAATCAATATGCTATGGAACATCTCGAAGGCTAGCACTAGATTCTACGTGGAAGGATAAATCACTCTTATGAAATGGAACAGACTATTTTTGATATGGAATTTTCTTAAAGGTGCAACAATGAGTGCAGAGGGGCCATTCAACGATCATGGACAAGTGTCAAAATATATTTAAAGTTTGGTTATTTCTCAAGACTGACATATAATTTTATTATTTCCAAAGAAACCCCCTGGGTGAACATTATTTCAGCTGATATTCCTCTTGAAACATGGTGAATCTTAAAAATCTATAAGTGGGATTCCCTCTATAGAACCTTTGAACTGAATTTACACTTCTTAATGCTGAAATTGATAGTTTATCCATATATTTAAGAAAATAGGTATGTCAAAGAAGATGTTAAGCCAAATGTTGCCCTTATAGTTCAGAAAAAGTAAAATATTTCAATTTTTCTCTCTACAGGCCTTGTTGCCCCTTTAACATTGGTGAGGTGTGATAGAACCACATCAACCGTACCCATTGTCTCCTAAAGGATAAGCCTCGGTTTGTTGCAATCCACTCCCATTTACGAATATAAATACTGGCTGCCGGTATTTTGCATAAATTAAACTCATCATTTTTGAGGTGGAATAACGAGCAATCTGGCAGCCAGTAGCCGATAGTTGCATTAGAGAATACAGCCTCATAGGCTCCCAGATATCCTAATCTATGTATGACCCCCTAAAAATTCTATCATATTTTCAAGTCAATAAAACATTTTCCAACCTACCCACTAACTGAAATATCCTCAATGTAGAACTAAATGCAAAACTAGAGATGTTGCCTCAAACAAAAGCATGAAGCAACCTTGGTTTCCCTTATGTTGAACTAGTGTGTAGCGTTTTTGTTGAATATACACTCCCCTCCAAAAGTTTGGAAACTAGAACTAGAACTTTCTGATCACTTGCTCATGGTTATTTATGTTCGCTGATTTCAACATATTTGTTCACATCTATGAATTATGAACATCATAACTGACAAACATTCTGATACTCGCAGAATCTTTTTGTTTCTCCATACTCATAAGAAATGAGATGCCATGGTTTATCATGATGACTGAACAACCCACTAAGGAGATTAACACATGGACAGGTTTTAACATGTGATCCAGTGGAGACTTTTTATTTCCATACTTATGTAGGGGGTGTATCTTTGACTTAAAATATGTGGTTTACATTTACATTGTACAGTGTAGTCATATCTGACATCAACCTCTTCATCTTAAAGACTTACTAGTAACCTCTACATTAATGACCTGTAACTGTGACATTAATGATCTCATAATGACCTGTAACTGTGACATTAATGATCTCATAATGACCTGTTACTGTGACATTAATGATCTCATAATGACCTGTAACTGTGACATTAATGATCTCATAATGACCTGTTACTGTGACATTAATGATCTCATAATGACCTGTAACTGTGACATTAATGATCTCATAATGACCTGTAACTGTGACATTAATGATCTCATAATGACCTGTTACTGTGACATTAATGATCTCATAATGACCTGTAACTGTGACATTAATGATCTCATAATGACCTGTAACTGTGACATTAATGATCTCATAATGACCTGTAACTGTGACATTAATGAGCTCATAATGACCTGTAACTGTGACATTAATGGTCTCATAATGACCTGTAACTGTGACATTAATGATCTCATAATGACCTGTAACTGTGACATTAATGATCTCATAATGACCTGTTACTGTGACATTAATGATCTCATAATGACCTGTAACTGTGACATTAATGATCTCATAATGACCTGTAACCGTGACATTAATGATCTCATAATGACCTGTAACCGTGACATAAATGATCTCATAATGACCTGTAACTTAGCACCATCAATCTGTCAATAGACTTTATATGAAACATAATATCAGTTTATAATGAACCTTGAAAAAGAATGAGGTGCATGCACCCCAGAGGACATTTAAAGGGTGATTATTTTGCTTGCGCCATCTTACAGTCTTTACAATAAGAATTGCATCAAAGTCTTTTTAATGCTAAAATTCACAGGTCATTCTGCCAAGTGGAACAGCTGCCGAGTGCAACAGCTGCCAAGTGGAACACTTATAGAGGAACTACAGTTGCTCCACTTCTACAAGTTTTACTGTATTTTAGGATGAGAGTAAGACATTGAACCACTTTACCTTAATTAAATGAAATGTGATTGCCATGGTTTGTTAATTGGTTGCTATGATTTGTTAAATGGTTGCTATGGTTTCTTAATTTGGTTGCCACGGTTTGTTATGGTTTATTCATTTGCAACAACTGACATACAATTATTACCATGGCAACATAGTGACATTTAATAGTGGTCATGTTTTAAAACACAAAAATAGAGCGGAAAAGAGTGGAATTAGCGAGGAATATGGTTAACAATAATTGTAAAATGATGCCCATCAATAATCAGACAGTTCATCTCAAAATCACACAATTTTCTATCCATAATCTTTCCCCTCTCATTCTCATCTGAGCTAAAATTAACAAACAATAAAAGAATTATAGAGGTTTATGATTATCAGAGAATGTAATGATTGATAGATGGCAGCACAGTTGTTCTATAACATCGCCTTATATTTTTTAAACTTCTAAAAATAACACTTCCTTCAAAATAGCTATAAGAATGCAAGTACAAAAGATTTAGGATATTTTTCTTGAACCTCTAAAAGGTATAGGATATATAGATACACACCTCTCCCCTCCAAACATGTATCAACCTTGCCCTACCCTTCCGTTGGAGAGCTTGATAATTTTTTTTTAATTTGAATTTTTTTTATTCATTCTTCGATTGAATGAAGGCAATCCATAAAAAAAGATGAATTTTCCAAAGAAGCTAAACGTAAACAAGCCTAAAAACTTTGTCAATTAGACATTGAGCTTTGGTGTTTGCTTAACTTTTAGGGGGAGGGGGTGTAGTGTACATTACAGAGATAGAATGTCTATGTTATTCCACTTCTATAAATTAAAGGCAGAATCAGATCTAGTAAGTAACTCCATCATTATCATTATCTTGGTCTTGACAAAAATTGTTTCAATTTAAGAATAATTTGGGCTTGTTATGTCTATTTTCTAAAAATACTCAAAGTGTAAACTTTATTTGAGGAAAACTAACGATTTTTACAATAATGCATTCATTTGTTTATGAAACAGTTACCATTTTTATCATTTGGGAGAATTTCAACATTCTTCCCCCATTTTTGCAATTTGAATCTTAATAACTTCACCAATAGATAACTTATTGTGGATTTTTTGGGAGATATTTTTCCCCCATTTTTGCAAATTAAATCTTAAATAACTTCACCAATTGATAACTTATTGTGGATCTTTTGGAAGATATTCTTCCCCCATTTTTGCAAATTAAATCTTAAATAACTTCACCAATAGATAACTTATTGTGGATCTTTTGAAAGATATTCCTCCCCCATTTTTGCAAATTAAATCTTAAATAACTTCACCAATTGATAACTTATTGTGGATCTTTTGGAAGATATTCTTCCCCCATTTTTGCAAATTAAATCTTAAATAACTTCACCAATAGATAACTTATTGTGGATCTTTTGAAAGATATTCTTCCCCCATTTTTGCAAATTAAATCTCAAATAACTTCACCAATAGATAACTTATTGTGGATCTTTTGGAAGATATTCCTCCCCCATTTTTGCAAATTGAATCTTAAATATCTTCACCAATTGATCAACATATTGTGGATTTTTTGGTAGATATTATATTTGAGATTGTAAGGAATACATTGGTAGATCAATTGTACAATACATATTGCTTGCAATTTTCACCCTTTATAGATCTGATTCTGCCTTTATACAATAAAATCAATAACATTTAGAGAATCCAAGCCATTTCGACTCTTTTTTAAATATGTTGTTACGATACTGCATGTAGTGACCAGAAACAAAGATTTATTTACCTGGCCTAACACATTTACATTTCTTAGGCTAAGGTATATAACACCCTTGAGCTTAACTTAATAATATTCATACATGCATTGCGATTACATATTTCTGCCAAACATGAATATTGGTACACAAGACGCAACTTCTGCCACAATTTTGATTCGCCTCATTTGCATACAAATAACTTTGGGAACAAAAATAGCAATAGCAAATGATTTCAAAATGTCACCACAACGCCATTAGGCATATAGGACAAATCACGTTTGTACATTTAACTTTTGACATTCAATATTCAATACGAGATGTCTCCGAGATGACAAAGAAGGAAAATTTGAATTTATTCAATTTTTCTACGTTTAATTTTTGACACTGCATCTGGATGTAGTTTAAACAATTATTTTTTCTGTACATAAGCTGAACATGTACATATATTATGTACATTCAACATTTGCAAATAGTTAGTCACTTAGAAAAAATAATAGATCTAATACTCATGTAGCATTAACATGCAACATGTCACCACCAAACATTTGTTACAGATGCCGAACACCAAACAAAAACCACCCACAAAACCACCCACAAAAAAGCTGGAGACTATAACTTGTGATGGTGACATAAAAATGAGGTTTTGAAATACTTTTTAACAAATAATATATTTTCCTTATTTTTCACATATGATCAATAACATACTGAATATCATACAGTTCGTCAAACTTCATTTGCGCATAATGACATTTCAAAACAATCTGCATCATAACACAAGCTCACTTAAGTAAAACAATAACATCATAACTGAGTGTTTTTAGGGCCATAAATGTCCTAATTTGGAAGCCTCGTCACCATGAATTGGAACCTCGTCACCATGAATTGCAGCCTGTTTTGCTGGACTATATTTATATAGACATGCTTATTCCATAACTAGATGTGTTTAACTCCACAATGAGTATAGTATGCTTATTCCTTATATGGGTATACTATCCATATATGGGCATGTTTTTCCAATATAAGGACATGTTAATTCCATATATGACAGACCTTCTCCATATCAGGATATACTTTGCTATATAAGGACATGCTTATTTCATTTAGGGGACACTTATTCACTATAAGGGCATGCTTATTCCATATAAGGAATGCTTATTCCATATATGGACATGCTTACTCCATATAAGGGTATGCTTTACTCCATACAATTTCTCTCTGATTTCTCTTATCTGCTAATGTAATTTATATTTATGAAAACAGGGCACTCAGTTATCCTTTGTAAGAACAGCATCTCACTGTTTGCCTCAATCAAATAGCAAAAATAATATTTGCCTCAATCAAATAGCTGGCCAAGGTAAAATTTGCCTCACTCAAAATCATGTTGATGTGAAGATTTGGGTGAGTGATCTTATCAAAATTTTGCGAAAGTCAACATATGGCTAAATCTGGTGATGAGTATTAAGACAATTGTAAGGGGGGGGGGGGGGGGTACAGTACAGTTTCTTTTTGACACATTTTATTTAGTAACTTAATTGTTCAATAAAGTTAAGCTGTGACCACAATTCATGTATGTTAAACATACTTACATAAAATGTAACACAATTATTTTTTATTCTTTCTCTTACACCCTATGCAGACAGAGCCTGTGGGAAATATTGGGTGCGGAGCAAATGAGCGGAGGGTGCGGAGCTAACGGTTATTTTTGAATTTAAATTTGGGATATTTCTGAAACTAAGCCGTTTTGGGACTTCAAATATACCAAGATATGTGTATTTGACACCAAATATCAATACAATTGTGAAAATAGTAGCGCAATTCATTCTATAGCGACGCAGTGTGCCTTAAACCTTTCCCAGACCTATATATTTTGAAATTATCCTTTTAATACTGAGTCCCCAGCATTCATAAAAAATGGTGTTCAAGGTGCACTATCTATACAAATTATTTTTGCATCTTGGAAGCCAGGCAGTATCTGTGTGATTTTATAAAAATTCGGAAATTTTTTCAGATATGAGCCCCCTCTAAATATTGGGTGCGGAGCAGCTCCATAAACGTAGCTCCGCACCCAATATTTAGAGGGGGCTCATATCTGAAGAACATTTCCGAATTTTTATAAAATCACACAGATACTGCCTGACTTTCAAGATGCAAAAATAATTTGCATGGGTAGTGTATCTTGAACACCATTTTTTATGAATGCTGGGGACGCAGTATTAAAAGGATAGTCTCAAAATATATAGGTCTGAGAAATGTTTAAGGCATACTGCGTCGCTATAAAATGAATTGCACTACTATTTTCACAATTTTATTGATATTTGGTGTCAAATACACATATCTTGGTATATTTGAAGTCCCAAAACGGCTTAGTTTCAGAAATATCCCAATTTTAAATTCAAAAATGACCGTTAGCTCCGCACCCTCCGCTCATTTGCGCCGCACCCAATATTTCCCACAGGCTCTGTCTGCATAGGGTGTCTTATATCAGGTCTAATAATTACCACAGTGAAATCTTGACCATTGTGACATAATGACCATTATGACATTCTGACCACTGTGACATAATGACCACTGTAACATCATGACCACTGTGACGTTGACATCATGACTACTAAGCCATCATTGCCACTATATCATCTTTACGAATTTGACATCATGACCATTGAGGCATCATGGACACTGTGACATGGTGATCACTGTGACATGATGACCACTGTGACATCAGGACCACAGTGACATTGTGGCCACCAAGGCATCTTGACTACTGTGACATCCTGGCAACTGTGACATAATAACCACTGTGACACAATGAGCACTGTGACATGATGACCTCTGTGACATAATGACCACTGTGACATACTGACTTCTGTCACATCATGACCACTGTGACTTTGACATCATTACTACTGAGCCATCATTGCAACTATATCATCTTTACCATCTTGACATCATGACCATTTAGACATTATGGACACTGTGACATGACGGCCACTTTGACATCATGACCACTGTGACATCCCGACAACTGTGACATGATGACAACTGTGAAATGAGGACCACTGTGACATCATGGCCACTGTGACATCAGGAACAATGACATTCTGCCCATAAAGGTATCTTGACCAGTGTGACATCCTGACCACTCTGAAGTGATGACCACTGTGACATCATGACCACTGTGATATCAAGACAACTGTAACATTTTTTCCACAGTGAAATCATGACATAACAAATGCCATACAGTGTCTCTTATCAACAATAATAAATCAAATGTGCTCCAAAGAATAGAAACGAGACTATAAGGGTGCATTTGACAATTCATGTACATGTAATCTGGGCTTTTCCTTGTCATGAAATTTCAACAAAGTCCATATGATCAGATACCTCAAATGTTTCAGATATTAAAACCTAAAGAATTAAAAGTATAGGAAACATAATGCCTATTTTGTTAATAACATTTTAAACTTCCCATACATTGTTGCTTCTTAAATATCCAGAAATCCCATCTCAAGCTATGCACATTAAGTTCTCTCTAGAATCGGATGCTACATCTGTATTTCCAGGCATTTCAGTTTCTAATTCCATCTCACTCATTTCCATTAGAACTTTCCACTCTATTATCTGTTTTTCAAAACGTGATGACTGAAGATTAAATTTCTTCTGTACGACAATGTTAAAATACTTTGGAAGAATTTACAGTGCTCCATTAACAAATTGTAATCCATGTTTGAAGTATCCATGTTTGATGCTGGTCCATGTGTGTCCATAGCTGAATACTCCATTGTTGAATTTATTGAATCCTTATTGTAATTTTCTCCTCTCACAGTCACTTTCCTCCTCACATAAAATCATGTTGTTGAATACTCAAAACTGAATACTCAACACTGATTACTCAATATTGAATATTCAAAACTGAACAACCACTGGATACAAAATACTTAAAACAGAATGCTGTGAACTCAAATTTACTTCTCAATATTGAAAACTCAATATTATATACTCAACATTGAACCTAATGAAAACAGCATACTCAAAATTTGCTTTTCAACATTGAATACTCAATAATGACTACTTAACACTATATACTCAACTTTGAATACTCAACTCTGAATACTCACAATTGGCTACTCAATAATGAATACTCAATATTGACTTCTGAATGTGCTACATTGATTACTCAACACTGGCAGCTCAAGTTGGCACAATGCAGGTTGAACACAAGAAAGGTACCATTATGTTCATCCATTTTTGGCAACAGAATTTAAATTATAACATAAATTTAAGATTATTTTTCCCTGTATGTGGAATTTTTAATGGAAGATTTTCCATGGTTCATCGCACTTATGGGAATTTTCCGCATGAACATCTAGGGTCTGATGGAAATTTCCGATGCTCGTTGCTCCTCAGTGGAAATTTCCTATAGTACAGCGAGGTTATATGCGATGGTGGAATATGTTACATAATATATACAGTTACTGCGGACCTGGAACACCAGGACATATACCCTGGCACAAAATCTGACTGATTTTTGCACATAATTTACAATAAGGGTTCCTTATTTTCACATTTCAAGGGGTCCTCCATCCATGTTTGTATAATGCTTATGAAGATTCTAATACTTTGATCATGTGATTTGTATGCACCAATCAGATGCCAATGATATAAACAATAAAAAACTGCCTATTACCAAATATGGTATGCTATGTTAATCCTATGACCATATTTGGTAAAAACGTACATATAAGCCACACGAGGGCAAGGTGAGCTAAGAGTTTATGACGTGATGATGATTCTGTGTTGTGATTGGATGAAGAGCTAGAGGTTTGTGGGTCCATGAGGCATCTGTTTTTTTCATTGTCATTCCCGTAGTCAGTTTGAGAGTCGTTAAAATAGCAAAATTTGAAACACTTTTGTTGATCATTACTCGAGGATGTTAAGATTTCTTCATCTGGAAAAAGACGAAACAACTTCATCTTAATATATTTTAATTCAAATATTATAAACAAAAACAGCTACACAGTGATAAATATCGCATTTTGAAGACCAAAATGGCTGCCATGTATTTTACCCAGAATGCCCAAAACTTATTCACTTATTGGCACTATCAAGAATTATGTGGTGCAAGTGTCTACCCAGCATGCTCAGATCAAGCTGACAATATTTTTATACCTTTTTAGGTAGATAATATGAAATCAATTAGCATCCAAAATAGTCAATAAACATGTACAATAAGCATATACAATAGACAATAAACATGTACAATACCTCTGCATAGGAACCCTGGTTCACCAGCGTATTGGCCATCGCTTGTAGGTAGTAAATACGGGCATGCTTCCTCAACACGTTCGCAGTGATCCATATCACATGGAACATAGCGCTCATTGTTAATGTGGATAGAGTCAATGTGTCTGCTACATAACCAATGCTTATACGCCATCTGAAAATATTAGAGATAAAGCCATTTAAAATAACTTTTAATACACAATTGAAGTGATTATGTAAAAAGTGTATATTGGTCTGCTACATAACCAATGCTTATAGGCCATCTGAAAATATTTGAGATAAAGCCATTTAAAATAACTTTTATTACACAATTGAAGTGATTATGTAAAAAGTGTATATTGGTCTGCTACATAACCAATGCTTATAGGCCATCTGAAAATATTGAAAATAATGCCATTTAAAATAACTTTTATTACACAATTGCAGTGATTATGTAAAAAGTGTATATTGGTCTGCTACATAACCAATGCTTATAGGCCATCTGAAAATATTGAAAATAATGCCATTTAAAATAACTTTTAATCCACAATTGCAGTGATTATGTAAAAAGTGTATATTGGTCTGCTACATAACCAATACTTATAGGCCATCTGAAAATATTAGAGATAAAGCCATTTAAAATAACTTTTATTACACAATTGAAGTGATTATGTAAAAAGTGTATATTAGTCTGCTACATAACCAATGCTTATAGGCCATCTGAAAATATTTGAGATAAAGCCATTTAAAATAACTTTTATTACACAATTGCAGTGATTATGTAAAAAGTGTATATTGGTCTGCTACATAACGAATACTTATAGGCCATCTGAAAATATTAGAAATAAAGCCATTTAAAATAATTTTTAATCCACAATTGCAGTGATTATGTAAAAAGTGTATATTGGTCTGCTACATAACCAATACTTATAGGCCATCTGAAAATATTAGAAATAAAGCCATTTAAAATAATTTTTAATCCACAATTGCGGTGATTATGTAGAAATGGTATATTTGTCTGCGACATAACCAATGCGTATAGGCAGAAAAACTTTTTTCCTATGAATGTTCATCTCTCTGGTAGTAATGTACTATTAACAAAGTTGTTGATTTTCTTTCAAAAAGAAAAATAAATATCTCTGAGAAAGAAAATCAACAACTTTGTTAAAAGTAGAAAAACTTTTGTTGAGCGAAAAAGATGGCTCTCTGGCATGAATTCTCTGTACAATAGACTTATTTAATTTGAAACAATAACTTATTGCAATAGTTGCAATAGCATATAGCTTTGCAGTGATACACTGATATGTAAGTAAGATATAATCAGACTATGTGTATCGCTGATTGCCCCCCCCCCCCCCCTCTAGAATAAGACACACCTCTAAACCTCCCTAATAGCCAGCTTGTTTAAGCAACATTTATGTTTCAATTTGAATAAATTAAGTCTGGAATTCATTTGAAAAAAAATGATAAAAAGGTGACTCATTTACGAAGCTTTTTTCAGAGAATAGACCTTAGTGTAAAAACAAGCTCCAATTTTTGACAAAATTACACTGAATCTTTCAATAACGGGACCCATGTCGATGTCCTTGACTAAAACTGTAACTGTATGACCTATAATGTTGAAACGACCTCTAAATATGTGATCACACAACCTTGAGCTAATGTTATCATTACGTACTGTGTGTTAATCCCCAGTTTATCAGTCTACAATCGAATTAATGACAATTGCATTATTTTATGACATATATTTGACAAATACACACAGTTCATTTCACGATTTGTAATTAAATAAATAGTTTGTTGAACTAGGTGTCGGAGCTGTGTAAACATTTTTTGAAATCAATTGCAATCAAGTTTACACTTTTCATTCGATTAAAAGAGAATTTCATCTATATTCATTGAATTAGAGATTCAGTAAAATCTATAGAAGTAGAACACTATTGTTATCTCTAAAGTGTTCAACTTGGGAGGTGTTCTACATCAAGAGATTTATGTAACTTACACAGCAGTAATCTCCCCAGCATTAAAGTAAGTGGGTGCAGGACCCACCTGAAATTTTGAGAATAGACTTGCACCCACCTGAAAATCCATTACACCCACTTGAAAATGAGAAAAATCAAGGAAAATTGGCACATTTTGACCAATTTTGGTCCGATTTGTGAAAATGAGAATTTTGCACCCACCTGAGAAAAAAACCTTGGGAGATCACTGCAGTTTCTCTACAGATTTTACTGTAATTACAAGTCCATTATTTATATACATTTTGCAATAGTTTGATTTCATTTCTTAAAAGAGAGCTTTGTCTCCACTTTTTGAATATGGTATAATGCTTTGATCTTAGCTTATCCAATCAGTTAAGGTCAATAACAATCTAACTATCCAATCAGAACTCAAGTTACAGAGCTTTATACCTTCATAAGAAGCTGGCAATTGTTTCATATCCATACTCCCATGACCCCGTAACAGTTACATCTCATGAAAGAGAGACTTCTTGGAGATAATATTTTCTGTATTTTTCTTTGAATCTTTGATCAATTTACAGAAAGACCATTTAAATATTTTTCAAAAATTCTGGCCTTAAATCATCTTAAATTCGAAGATGATTCCTGGGTAAGATGAATGTTAGGCCAAAAAATTGGGAAATAAGTTAAGATTTCCTTAAGAATTCATTCCTCGGAATTTCTAGTAATTATATTGTTTTAATAATGATACAAAATGCCAAACCAATTTCGCAAAATCTATCAATTTTGGTAACAATTTTACAGGGAAATTATAAGTAAACTTTACCATTAATATTCCAAGCAGGTTCATAAAAAGCAAAACAATTTCCGTTGCCCATAAATCTGAAATCTCCTGAGAAAAGCAAGTCTTATAAATGTTGCTAAATTACATCGCTATAACAATAATACATTGAAAAAAATGCAAAACAAGCGTATTAATAAAACTCAGTATAACAGCATGGCTATAAAAATGATGTTGAAATTAAAGGGGGAGTAAAGTTATGATAGCTTGTCCTTAACCCTTTCACGACGATAGGCTCCATATGGAGCCCTATTATATAATACCTTTCAGGACTTTGGGCTCCTTTTGGCACCATTATTTTTATTTATATGCATCAATGAAATAACAATATCTCCAGTTCTATTCAGTATTTTCACACCAAATTTTGACAAGTTGTTAAAATGTGATAGTCCTTTTTAAAAATGTATTTAAGTGATAAAATTTAAAGCATACGTCCTGGGAGATAGGTAATTTACAGTTTTTCCCTAAAAACTGCTCTTACTTATCTGTCACCAGTGCAATATTTTCCTCTTATATTCATGTCGGGAAATTTAAGGGTTAATATTGGCTCTGCCTTTAAACATAAAATAAATTAGTGCTTAGAGTGACATAACCTAAAAACAGAGATTCTAGTCATAAACAATATTGGCAAAATACAACTAGATAATGTAGTCGTCTTATGCTCAATGAAGACGATTGTAAGTCATGTATTAAAGGGTCTATTGGTGCATAATTATGCATGCATTAAAGGGTCTATCCATGCATAATCATTTGTACATTAAAGGGTCTATTCATGCATAATATCGCAGAGTGACAGGACTATTTTCAATTTTTCTCTGAATTAACTGAAGTCTGTTGGGAGTTCAGAGGAAATGAATAATTTGTAATAAACTGAGATAATAATGATGTGAGTACAAGAGTTGAAACACCTCAAGGTTGTGAATACTCAAATATAGCTACACAAGGTGAAACTTGTGTAATAGAAAAAGTGTTTTACATGAAAATTGTTTTATCTGTTTGATCATGGAACTCTGATGTGTTCTTACAAATTTTATCAACAGGTTTAATGGGCGTCGCCGGGGGAGGGGGGGGGGTGCATCCCCCATACCCCTAAAATAGAAAAATTATAATTTGAAATTACAGTTTGCTCAATGTGAATTTTAAAATGAATCCCTGTATCCCTTTATTTGGGTTTGGGGCTCACTTCGCTAGCAGTGATGCAAACACAAAAAATCACACCCCATGACAATTGCTGGCTCCGCACCTGGGTTTTATATTGTACTTATGATGAACTAGGCATAGAGTCGTTAAGAACATCCAATATTGAGATGATTTACAATTTTCATATTTGAGATTTTATTAATCTCAAACATATAAAATATTTTTCTTAGGTTGAGGAAGTTGAGTTGAAAAACGTTGAATTCACTTCCTGTTATACGAGATAACCCTTAAGAATTTCTATCCAATCTACAAAAATATTCAAAACCCGATACTAATATAAACTAGAGATAATTTTCATAAAATCTATGAAATCATCGAAAAACATGAGATTTTGTAATAAAACACTACATGACATTGGGAATTCCACGTCATAGTTTAGATGGTGTATTTTGATTTCTATCATATTCCAGGAATTTGTGTAAACAACATGTAGAGAATTCTAAATTAAGATAAAGTTACAGAAAATGTCATTTTAATCTGGAAACCAACATTCCTTATTTCCTGATTGTATGTTTATGTTCTCAATATGATTGGAGTTCGAAACAAATATTTTATTATCAACATTTTCCAGTTATTTTTTATACATGATTTTGAATTTTGCTATTATGCCCTCACAAATCTGTGTACTGGTGGTTTTGGGGTAAAAACCCTGATCTGGTCTGGTCTTTTTCTTCACATTTTTATTTATTAATCCTATAAAAAGTATGTACAAAAATGCATTAATTTCTTTCATTTTGACATGATTTTTTTCATTTTTAGAGTGAAATAAAAAATTTAAGTTTGATTACTTAACTGATATATGAGACAAATCACCTGGGTTTAATTCTTGTATGATACCTTCAAGATCATCCAAAGGAAAAAAAATAAAATAAAAAATCACTGGACTGAAATGTCCATTCAGACACTCATAAAATCTTTTTGTTTTTTTACTAGCAATATGAAAGAGAAGGAACTGGTGATCTCTCACTATACAAAATGTATATAACTTCAACAACAATATCCAAGAAATAAAGTAAATGGGCATTTAAGGAACACTCTAAATTGTAAACAAGTCATAACCAGCGAGATGTCACTATGTGCCATTAGTTATAGAAGCCGTAATTTGTTACAAATGCCATATTATAGACACCGAACACTATCAACAAAAAATGCAAAAAACAAAATGCCAAAAAA